TGACACTGAAGGGAATGAAGGTAGCAGGGACTTTGTCCATCACTGTGTTTGTAATTCTTAGGTGCAAGAACTGATGAGCGAGTTTCTCCTTGCAGTCCATATGTAACCATGTTTGGCTCTCTCTAGCTACTCCACAAACACATTTTTTTCACCTGGCCTTTCAGTTCAGCTGGAATAAGAAAAGCAGGAAACACTCCTTCTCTGGTGTTCTACACTGGCTGTATCTCTGCAGGCATCAAACTGAGAGGAAAAATATTCATATCAGGGGAAATGGGGGTAGGGTGAAGGGAGTAGAAAAGTGAAGAGTGGACTGCTTCAGTAAAACCGCTAACCTTGAATTATGCAATCGGAAAAACAGCTCTTGCCAAAATACAATTCTAGCGGAGTTCAGAGTATTGTCAGTGTTTGCCAAATACCCCAGCCAAAAGGATGTCTCAAAGAGGGGGAGGAGGGATCCGTTGCCATATGCCCAGCATTCACAGGATTCTGGAAGAGCTGTGGAGTCCTTCAGGAGTGGAGGCGTGTGCACGGTCTCGGGTGCACCCTGAGCGTTGGTACCACCATCCAGCAAAAGACAGAAGCAGGAAGGTCGGAGGGGAGTAGGCAAATATATCAGAATGTCTTTATTTCTCAAAACTTCCAAGGTTTTGCTTCAGGTTTGTATAGTAGTGGGAGGAGTTCTGGCAAACATTATCAGGCTGTTCTACATATGTTTTGACTCTTCTTGTTTTATGTTTCTTCTGTGAAAGAGACTGCAACCAAGTTCTTGTCATTTTTAGATCAATGTTTTGTTAAACTATGACAGCTATCCATGACAGAGAGCCAAGTAACTTTTGCAGCTGACCACAAAACTGAGTCTGACTTGCGGTGCTTAGTCATTTTTTATATATTTTTTTCTACATGACAAATTCCATGTGCGTATGTGTTTTTCATTGTTCTTTTAAATATAATTAGAACATTGCTAGAAGCTGTGGTACAAATCAGTCTTCTCCAGCAGATTACCTTCTTTGATTAATAGTTTATCACATTGTGGCTATTGGTGAAACCTGTCTGGTTATACTTTGAACAATTGAGTATTATGGGACTGATTGCTCTCTACAGTTCTTCTCTGGTTTGCCCATCACAATTTTAAATGGTCCAGATAACAGAGTTCTTGCGGCCCCTAGAGAGTGTCTCTCCTACAATACAATAGAAATGACCATTAGGATAGTTTTTCACAACCTTTGCCGAAGTTCTTAATAGAGGAAAAAGATGGTTGTAAGATGTCTTTCAGCCTTCTGGTGCCTGATCCAAAATTCAGATATTTAGAAGAAAAAGAATCACTTAATCTTTAGCAAGAGATCCCTATGTTTTTCCTCCTACAAGAGTAGGAGCGCTCCTTACCATTTGTTTCTCTGCTTTATGCAGTCTGATTTTTAGCAGGTCTCACAATCAAGACTTTGCAGAGCTTCCCTGGGTCTAGACCAGTCTTGCCTGTTTTTCCCAGCAGTATTTGTTCTAGGCTACAGTTGATGACATTCATGCACTGCTCTTAGGATGAATTGCTCTTGGGGTGTGGGGCAAATCTGAAACAACAGGGTTATCACTCTGGTTATTTTCTTTTACCTTTAAAAACCTGAAAACACGTACGATTTCATCAGCTGAAATACCTTCCCGTTTCTTTCTCTGCCCAGCAAGACAATTGGATGTAGAGCTTGATACAATAATAAAATAAGTTTAAGACATAGTCCAGCATAGTGTGCAGGAATGTGCCACTGCCTCCTGAATTCTAGTGCTGTATCATGACTGCTTTAGTCAAGTGTGCTGCTGAAC